AAAATACTTAATGGGTTCATATATGAGTGTTTAATATCTCTGAGCAACTTTAGAGTCAAATATTTATGCCACAGTTCAAGGGTGTCAGAAATAACACCAAATGAAATGTTTGACTTAGTTTATTTTATTTGAACCCAGTGGTTCGTTTCTGAAATGTTGGAGAATGAATCAAGTTCTGTTTGATGCAGAAAATAATAAAACACAAAACAAATTCTACACGTCCAATAATATTTAAAATGTGTGTTTTATTCTTCCTGATAATAACACCAGCAGAAGGCTGTGGGCTGGATTAGGATTAAATTACCCAGCTGATGGATCTCCTTCACTAACCAGCTAACTACAAACCTTTCCACTAACCTGTCCTGTGTGACCCTCGCCATGTGACCCTCATGTCCATGTGACCCTCACCATGTGACCCTCATGTCCATGCTGTCTCTGGAGGAGCAGATAGGAGACAAGACCTCCTGTAACTTAAAATGAACCAAAGCTTCCTCCCAGTTTCTCTTTAAGCTGAATTTAACATCAGTTTATCATCGTGGAACAAGAACTTCTATCTTCTATTTCTCTCAACTTTTAACATCTCTGTGTCCCTAAATCAAAGAGACAGACGATCACGCTGCAGCCGCCGTCATTGACCCCGCCCCCTCCCCAAGACCGAATCTCCCAGCATCACAACACTCGGTCTGACTGAGCGCTTCCAGGATAAACAATAATTAAATTATGAAAATAATAACGCGTGTTTGGAGCATCGGTTTGGAGGAGCCTCCTCCAATCCTCTCTCTTGTGAGCAGTGTCTCTCTATCTCTGTCGCTGATCGAGCGAGCGGAGCGCACCGCATGACAATCCGCTCAATTAACATAATTCACGGCCCAAATCCAACAGAACCGGTCGGGCTGATTTGGTTCCGTTTCGGTCCCAGGTTACAACTCTAGCGCTCAGCCCTGCAGTACCACATTAAGGTGGAACCACTTGGTAAATGTGGAGGACGCTCACTCTGACAGATTCGGATGGTGCGCTGGTGCCGCCATTAAAACAACAAAACTACATTCCACTATAATCGATTATGGCGTACTCTTCTACGATGCAGAATCGTTTATGTCCGCATCCCGATGCATCGATTATTTGATTATTTTCCTCAGCTCTACCCGTTGGCCTTCCGGGCCCAAACAGTGTAGCAGAACAGCACGTTTCCTCACGTCAGGCCATACATATCCCGTAGTAATAATTACTAGCATGTAGTTGTCGAATATTTTCCGCCATGTTGTCAATGGAATCGGCGGCTCACCCACATGAGGAAGAAAAGACGGTGGACTCGGAACTGATGCGCTCATTCAGGTTGGGCATCGTTTGATTTTGAATTTCGATTCTAGTTCCTATCAATTCCCGATCCCGATTCTTTCAAGACATGCCAGCTAACCACAGGTCCTACTTGATGAAATAATCTTAACTTCAACATGAATTTTAATTCTATGAACAAAACATCACCTTCATTTAGACAAAAACATGTTTTGGAGATAAAAAAGAAAAAGATTTGCAGCACAACCAGTGTGTTTGTTTCTGACCACAACCAACGTCTGGAACATCAACATATATACTGGACAATGCGTGAACATAGGCTCCAATAATACGTTTTTAAGCCAAAACGGGAGGTGGCCACTACCGCCATTTTGACCGTGTCACAGGTTCCGCCAAGCCCAGACAATTCCAAAAAAGGGAAGAGAGGTGGAGCTGAGGGTGGGGCTGTAAGGCTGGGATCAAATGATGACACCCGTCGAACTGAAGCGATGTAGCTACAAGCTAACCCGAAGCTAACGCGGAGGTGGGAGCTAAGTTAACGGAGGTAGCAACCTAGCTACAACCAGAGTTAACTGCACAACACCAGAGCTTCTGAGTCACAGATACGCCGGGCTGACCGCTGGGTAAAACCGGGTGGAAAACATCGGTTTCCATCCGAGAGCTCCGCAAGCCGGCAGCCCGCGCCGCAGACAGGCGATCAGAGATGTGCCGAGCTGCGGGGAGGGGAGAACCGGGTGGAACACAGAGGTCTCCCGAGAGCTCCACAAGCCGGCAGTCGCGGTGATCAGAGATGCGCTGAGCTGTAAATGCACTGAGTTTTACCCTAAATTCATGGTTAAACAGTAAATGTTAAAATCTAAACTCAGCTACTGCAAGAGCGGCAGTGACCTAAAATACATCAATGTAATTTTACTTACCGAAAAAAATGAAGTGGTGCCTCCTTGGATGCTCTATTAGTGCAATTAATACCACAGCAAGTCATTTTGTCCAACAGTTGCACAAATAATATCCAAAAAGAATACACAAATGCTACAACTAATGAATTGAGTTGAGAGACTGAAAATCGCAGAAAGGTTTTCAGGCGAGGCCGAGGCTCAGACTGAGGCCTCTCCCCGGAGCTAGCTCTGTGGTCACATGGGTCTGAGGCTCATTAATTATTCAGATCTTTAGGCTTTTAATACACTTAAACAGAAGAGTGACAACCCCCCCCCCCCAGAGTTGTCATGAGTGTAAACTAGATCTATTAAACCAAAAACATGCTTTGGTACCAGGCTGTAAACATGTTTATTTCTGCAGTGAAATTGGTATTTTTAACATGGGAGTCAATGAGGATTTGCTCGCTTCTGACACCAGCCCCAGTGGATGAAGGTGGTACTGCAATTTTTGTCACTTCCATGTTGGCTTCAATTTCATACCAGTATTATGGGGGCTTGGTCTGGAAGAATCATCTGGTATGAGAGGCTAAATGTCTCCAACATATCCAGAAACGTCCAGCTGTTTTCAGCTAAAAAGAACTACACCTCCATGCTGCGGCAGCCATTCAGTCAGAACAGAAAGTGAAACGTCTGATGACGTCGCCGCCTCCTCTGATGACGTCCCCGACGTCGGCTCGTCTGAGGACGTCGCCGCCTCCTCCTCTGAAGTCGGCTCGCCCGATGACGTCGCCGCCTCCTCCTCTGAAGTCGGCTCGCCCAATGACGTCGCCGCCTCCTCCTCTGAAGTCGGCTCGTCCGATGACGTTGCCGCCTCTTCCTCTGAAGTCGGCTCGTCTGATGACATCGCCGCCTCTTCCTCTGAAGTCGGCTCGTCTGATGACGCCTCCCAAGTCGGCTCGTCTGATGACGTCGCCGCCTGTTCCTCTGAAGTCGGCTCGTCTGATGATGTCGCCTCCCAAGTCGGCTCGTCTGATGACGTCGCCGCCTGTTCCTCTGAAGTCGGCTCGTCTGATGATGTCGCCTCCCAAGTCGGCTCGTCTGATGACGTCGCCGCCCAAGTCGTCTGATGACGTCGCCGCCTCTTCCTCTGAAGTCGGCTCGTCTGATGACGTCGCCTCCCAAGTCGGCTCGTCTGATGACGTCGCCGCCTCTTCCTCTGAAGTCGGCTCGTCTGATGACGTAGCCTCCCAAGTCGGCTCGTCTGATGACGTCGCCGCCTCTTCCTCTGAAGTCGGCTCGTCTGATGACGTCGCTGCCTCCCCCTCTGAAGTCGGCTCGTCTGATGACGTCGCCGCCTCCTCTGAAGTCGGCTCGTCAGATGACGTCGCCTCCTCCTCTGAAGTCGGCTCGTCTGATGACGTCGCCTCCTCCTCTGAAGTCGGCTCGTCTGATGACGTCGCCTCCTCCTCCTCTGAAGTCGGCTCATCTGATGACGTCGCCTCCTCCTCCTCTGAAGTCAGCTCGTCTGATGACGTCGCCTCCTCCTCCTCTGAAGTCGGCTCGTCTGATGACGTCGCCTCCTCCTCCTCTGAAGTCGGCTTGTCCGAAGTCGGCTCGTCTGACGTCGCCTCGTCTGACGTCACTCTCTGCACTCAAGAGGTCGACACTCCGTCCAGCCCGGCGTCTCCACGGTCTCCGGTTCCGATGGTGGTTTTGAGGGCCACTCCGACCCAGCCTGCAGAGTCTTTGTCACCGGCCCAGCCTGCAGAGCTCCTCTATCATAGAGGCAGGTCCTCAAGAGTCTGTCCTCGTCTCCTCCTCTGCCGCAGGCGCTGGCCTCCAGAGGCCCGTCGCCTCCTTATCTGCCGCAGGCGCCGGCCTCCAAGGGCTCGCCGCCTCCTCTTCTGCCGCAGGCGCCGGCCTCCAAGGGCCCGTCGCCTCCTCGTCTGCCGCAGGCGCCGGCCTCCACGGGCCCGTCGCCTCATCTGCCGCAGGCGCCGGCACCCGGACTCTGCTGTTCCCTGCCGCCTCTCCATCGTCCTCTGGGCCCTCCCTCCGGGTTCCCCTCCCCCCACCCTGCTCCTGGTTCCTGTGGGCGTCTGGGATCCGCCCTTTGAGGGGGGGGTACTGTCACGCCCTGTCCTGTCTTCTCCTAGGTTGTAGTCTGTGTCTCCGTTAATTGCTCCCACCTGCCTCTTGTTTCCCAATCACCATAGCTCCCGTTCCTCATGTATTTAAACCCCTGCTGTTCTGTGTTCCTTGTGGTGTCATTGTTTCATTGTCCAGCGTGCTTAATAAATCCTGGTTAATCGTTCCTACCTGCCTGCCTGTTTCCTCCCCGGTCTGGATCCACGCCTTTGCTCCGCTTCACTCCGCGCACGTCGTGACAGATAGATTGGCTCCTGAAATCTCAAAGGTTGTAGCTCCCTTTGAATTAAATTATCACTGGCCATAAGATTCTACCAGGGCCTGCTAGCAAGATGTTTCATGTCTGGTGAGTTGTTGCATCTGATGAGCTTGCATCGAGAGAGAATGGTTCCTTGTGCTTTGCTTACCCCGGTGGCCAAACTATGGTGTCAGGTTTCCGCCAAAACCCGTGCAAGCGTAGCCAAAACCCATGCACGCGTATTGTGCACATCGCGCGTGCGAACGGGACTCGCGTGTGGAGGGTAGAACCTCATGAGTGAAAATATACATGGCGAGGAGGTCATTTGTACACTGAGAGGGAGCAAACTGTGTCTGTGAGCGCACAAGGATGTGCACAAGTGACAAACCTGCGTGCGCTCATTGGCCAACGAGCACACGGCAGAGGAAAACATGCACGCGGCAGCCTCACTGCGCGCTCGGTGCGGCAGCCTCACTGCACGTGTGGCAGCCTTTCTGCGCGCTCGGTTTCTGATTCTGCTCGCTCGGCTGTTGGGAGTTTTGGCACTCTGGAGGCGTGGAAGAATTAAAGTGCCAGAAACTGAGCAGTTGAACTTTCAATTTGAGAGCAGAATTTCATATCAAGAGACCATCTTTTTAATTTCAGAATACTATTTTATATTATTGCTCTCAAAACTTGTAATGCTTGCGCTCAAAATGTCTGCTCTCTTTCAAATTCACTCTGTTCTCCTTCAAATCTTTGTTTTTGCGCTCAGATTTAACCTTCTTACACTGGTATTGTCTTCTCATGTGACAACTTTTTCTCTACACGGATCAAAACTCCTCCCACAAGTCTGTCCCCTGCTCTCACGGATCTTGTCTGCTCTCGCTCAAAACTTAGAAGTACAATCTCCTAGCAACCGCTCAGCCAATAGAAAGACTTGTGGGACTGGGCGGGAACAAACCTCTTTGGGGTGCGCTCGTTTTGCGCTCTGTGGACTTTCCTGTGTGGCTGCCGCATCTGCGCACTAACAGCCTGGCTAATACCCGCTCTGATCTGGAGCGAGAGTTTCACCTGCACCAGCAAAATGGACCAGAACCAACAAGACGCTCAAGTAAGTTATTTTTCAAGGCTACTAGCTGCAGTTTATTCCATAAAATTGTTTTGTTATGCTACTTTTTACGACTCCTCGCATTTAATATTGCAACAGGGGCACATAGCTAGGTGGATTAGGTTATTCACTATAGCTACAACTTTCATAAAATGGCCTCAGCAGATTTGAGTTTTACCCTAACATATCACTCGTCCCCAATGCTAGCTCTGGACCTAGTGTAGATGTTTTTTGTTTAGTATTCCCACCTTTGTTTTTAATAGTTAGCTCTTTGGACATTACAGTAGTTATTCGTTAGCGTTTACTCCATGAACATTGTTTCCTCATCTAACTGCTAACTATCAAAATGTGTTTCATCCATCGACATAAATGTATCCCAATGTTTTTCTCGCGCTGTAATGAACAAGATGGGTCATCAAAGTAAGAGAATGTTATTAAAAAGTGGAACTCGTTATAATTGAACGATGGAAAATTTTGACCAAAGCCGTAGGAGAAAACCGTTTTTGATAGGGAAACACATTTTGACACAACACCTGCCCTGACTGGCGCGTCAGCTAGCTTTCAATCTGTTGGTAGGTTTCTGAAAATATTAATGCTATGTTAAGTGAGTGTAATCCAGTAGTAATTTCCCCAACAAAATAACAATTTCTATTTTTGCTCAATTCCTGCCTCCTTCCATTTCATTTTGCACTTGCATTATTTCTTTTTGTAATCCTGTCAAACCTAGCCGCTGGTCTTTAAACATAATGAGCCTAACTTACTAATACTGAGTCTGGGGTTACATAAGCAGTAACAAAACAAAAACAGTTTCTGTTTCTAAGTCTCAGCAATGAGTAAGGTTGTATTTCTGGTGTAAGCGAACTAACATTTGTTTTCTGTGAAATGCGCGAAATGTTGTATTACACAGTCTGTGGTACCATGATGCAGCACAATTCACTGTTGCATGTTAAACCACAGAAGATGTAGAGGAAAATGAATGTAATGGCTGAGGTGGAGGACCTGTAATGACACCAGAAAATAAGAAAATGTGTAAAAGCTTTATTAAAAGTTTAGTCCTGAAATTCTCATGGTAATCCAGGGAAGCAGGTTGGTGCATGGTCAGGGAACAGGCGTGGGTCAGGGCCAGATAAACAGCAGGTTCCATCCCAGCTCCAACCAGAGAGTGCTGCTGTTGTGTCCTTGGGCAAGACACTTAACCAACTTTGCCTGCTGTTGGTGGTCGGAGGGACCGGTGGTGCCAGTGTTCAGCAGGCCCGCCTCTGTCAGTGTGCCCCAGGGCAGCTGTAGCTACTATCTGGCTTATCACCACCGTAAGCATGTGAAAAGGGTGTGGTTGTTGTGTAAAGTGCTTTGTAGGCCTTGGACTTGATAAATTTCAATAAATGTGCAAGCCAATTACAATTTTTTTCAATTTGTAGGTGTTTCCCATTTGCTGTATAACCAAATACAACTTTTTCTGTGTTTTTTGTTGTATTTCTTTAGACTGGTTCCATCCGAGAAGTTACGAGAAACCTTATGGATTTACTGAATGCTCATCTACAAGCAGAGGGCCCGCAACAAACACCAACTGTGCCACAGCGCACAACACCAGCGACAACACCTTAACAGACTATCCCTCGGTCTACAGTTCATCAAGAAATGTCAAGGTAAGTTAAGTGTAGAAATGTAAATATTTGACATCTGCATTGGTCTATTCAGTGGTTTGAAATTAAATTATTCCAATGATGCTTTATTATTCATCTTAGAAAGAGGCTTTCTGCAATTGACTGTATTTTTTTTTTACATAGTGAAATTAAATTCTGAAATGATGTAAGCAGTGTAGTATAGGCTACAGCTAGGGCTGGGCAATATATAGATATTTTAAAATTATAAATATAATTTTAAACGAGAAACAAGATGACTTTGTATTGTTATAACTAGTCAAGCCACATAAGCTAGCAACTAGCTTGCTCCGTCTGTAAGCGGTCATTTCATGTATTCTCACAAATCTGCTCAATCAGAAAACCTCTGGGTCAATGTTCTGCCCTAAACTTTGCATTTGGCTTCATGGTTTTTAATTATTTGGGGATATTCGTTCATGTTTCATCAAGCCTGTTCACCGTGGTTACCAACGGAGTTCTGTTTACCCCTCCCTCCCTCGTGTAATTGGGAAACCACTACAGAGAGCCGGAGTGGCCAAATTACCTCAAACATGTTGTAATGGCTTCAACTGTAAACGTTAGGGTTAACATTTAATTTTGAAGGTGAGTTCAGCGCTAAAAGTTTTTCTGGTTCCGTTTTTTGATGCTTTGCTATGGTCGGGGCTCAGCCGCGTGAGTTCGGAATAGAACGGGTGGTTTCTTGTTCACATGTGATTCCCAGGGCTTCTCAGGAATGCGGAAATCCCCGAGCATGTGGGCGGCGGTAAAGACGCGCGGAAGAAGTCTGCGGTGTCCGCCTATGCTAAACAATAATTCCTCATCAAACCACTGCACCAACACACACTGCGCTTCTCTAATAATCTGCTCTCCTCTAATCCTTCCTACTTCAGCGCTGTAGTGTCCTCCGCTGCAGACGTGTCCTTATAACCGCTGCTACACACACACACACTGCTGTCCTCCTCTGCTGCGGAGCGGGTGACAGCAGCTCAGTGCTTCATGTGGGCTAAACAGCAACCAGGATGAAAAGTAATCGCATATGCGGAAACCCCCCGGTGTTTGATCCAACTCCCCAATAGGAGGCGGTAGGTGTGAGTTTCAGCTGCCAATCAGTCCATAGTGTCTGCTCGGCACCAGTCGGACCTCCGAGGGAAGTAGTCTGGAAAAAAAAGTCTCCTTAGAACGAAATACACACATGTGAGCCATATGCGAACAAAACATTTGGTTCCGAACGCATCCATGCCGACCCAGATGTGAAAGCGGCTTAAGTGAGGGAAAATACTAACATGGGACGACTGTGAGAATAAGGAGTAAAATAGTTTAGTTTTAAAAATAGTTTCCAGCTCAAAACAGGAGACTTGACAGGTGTGATCCTGGAATTGTGGATGAAGTCTGTCAGTGAAGCTCTTGGGATCACAGCTCCACCTCTCAGTTCAGACTCCACAGAGCTCCTAGTGTGTGAGTTCTTGTTCTCTTCTGTACTTTTAACGTTAACGCAGGAGAGTGTTTGCTGTTGTATTTCAGTTATAATGTGAACAACCACACAAAACATTAAATTTACTCAAAAATTCTGAATGGATTTTTAAGACCTGCCATGTGAACGTAGCCTTAAGCCTGATTCATGCTTCTCCGTCTGCGTCAGTGCGGAGACACGCGACGTCCTTGCGTGCCTGCCGGAGAGCTCCGCAAGGACGGACGGAGTAAAGCTCTCTTTTCTAAACAGCCGTCAGTCGAGACAGACAACGCAAGCTTGTGATTGGTCAGGATGCCGCTGTTGTTTACAGCGCCGCCATTGCACCCTCAAAAACATAAAGAGAGCCGAGAATAACAAGCAGCAGACACGGAGCAGCTTGAAGAATACCTCGCGAAAAAACTCTAAAAACATGAACTTTTAGTTCCCCCGTGACTGGAGGAGAGAGAAGATGCGCAGCAAGCGTTTTATTTGTGGACGGAAATGACAGGAAACGTGGGTTTAGAGGTGGCGAGCGCATGAAGAGGTGGAGGAGAATGAGAGACAAATATGTCCGTGTTAAAAGTCTCTTATATACACAAAAAATACAATATAAACACACGATCTTGGACCAATACATGACAGGATACCACAGAACAGCGCTACGCCCTCTGTTGTCCTGCCGAGGAATTGCTTTGCAACACTCTCCAGGAGACGGAGAAGTATGAGAGCAAAACACTTCCGTCAATCCGTGCGTGTCTGTCCCTTGCGGAGCTGACGGAGAAGCATGAACCAGGCTTTAGACAGCATGTTTCTCTGTACATAAGCCGTACCATAGACATCATTGGCTGCTGGAGAGTAACTGCTTCACCGCCATATTGAGTAGGTTTCTAACTCCAAAACCCAATTTGAATCCAGTCATTGGAGCAACTATGCCTGTTTTTGTGCAGCTCACAGTTCCAACAACCAGCAGTTACATCTGCCTGTAAGCTTTGTTTGTTAATAAAGTTATATAAAAATAAAAAAAACTGTTACGTCACGATCTCCTTGCTTTCTACAGGAAGTTTAAAAAATTATTTCAATAAAGATTGAAACACAAACATGAAGCTAAATGAGGAGCTCTATGAACATACTGAACGCCGCTTTAAAAGATACTGAATGTGAAATATGGCATTTCTCTACTGCTGACTGATGAAAGGGAGTCCGATGTGCCTGTTGTCATTTTGCAGGAGGTTGAACGATCTGACAAGGTAGTTAGCCCGTAAAAAAATTGTGCTGCAACACTCCCAGTGCTTTTTTTGTGGCCTTTACGGCTATTCATTGGTAGGCTCATCACGGAACACAAAAATGTAGCTTGTTTGTTATGATTTAGGTACGTACTGCCCCCTAGTGGCAGAAAACTACAGACTGTCGCTTAAAGAAATAGCATAAAATGGCCAGGGATGCAATTCAATATATATTCTCTTCTACGGTTTTAAAATTTTGAAATAATTATCTATCGATCGATTAGATTTTTTTAAATTAATATGCTTTTATTCATCAACCAGCCCTAAAACCTACTAAAGGTTAAACATTTTAAATTGCAAACTGTACTTAATTACGGTGATGCAAGTAAATGACAATTACACCCCTGCAAAATAGTAAAAGTTCTAAATCAAAACCATTTTGAATTTTTGTTATTCTTGTCCCTGCTATTTGTAATTTTTTTTAAATCTAATTTTGACATATAGTAATCCTGCACAACAATGTGATAATTTGGTTTCTATTAAAATTTAGGAAATTTTGCTTATTTGTTGACAAATTGCAGCTCAATATAGAAACATCATCATTGTTCTCTTGTTGTAATGTCAGGATTTCCAAGAGCCAGACATCGACTGGGATGTTGCTGCAGAGTACAGCCCAGATGTGGACGGTGCTGCTGTGGTCCCGGAGTTCGACAGTCCCCTCACTGAAGAGCAGCATGCTGAACTGCATCCATGCTTTTGTTCTTTTTTAAACACAGAAACAGTTTTGTTTACCTGTTAGTAGCTACAGTTTCGCCGACGGCTGCCGGCTTCTTCAGGCTGACGCTGTTGGTGGCGCGTCACTTCCTTCTCCGTTTATCTGCGGGCAGTTGTCTCTGCTGCCCGCAGATAAACGGAGAAGGAAGTGACGCGCCACCAACAGCGTCAGCCTGAAGAAGCCGGCAGCCGTCGGCGAAACTGTAGCTACTAACAGGTAAACAAAACTGTTTCTGTGTTTAAAAAAGAACGAAAGCATGGATTTAGAAAGACACAGCAAGAACACACCTACACACTTAAAACTGCTGGGTAAAAAATAACCCAATTTGGGTTGTTTTGTAACCCAGGTGCTGGGTCAAAAAGGGACCGACCCAGTGCTGGGTTATTTTAACCAAGTAGGGTTGGGTTATGATTTTGACCCAGCTTATTGGGTTATGCTTTCTACCCAATCAATGGTTTAAAATGACCCAACTGTATAGTTAGGACTACCCAAAACTGGGTTAAAAATAAAACCCAACTTCTGGGTTATTAAATTACTAAAGCTTGGATTAAAATGACCCAATTCTATAGTAAATACAATACAATAAATAAAATACAAATTAAATAATTCAATAAAACAAAATGAACATGTCTCAGTCAAATCTTTATCACAAAAATTATGTTAATTTTCAAAATACATAGATAACAAATAGTCGCATTTTCTACTTTCTCTAAACATGCGTTCATATTCAAACTTGTTTTGTAAATGACTACTAATTGCATTTTTTAATGACAAATATTTAACATTTCGTAACTTGTAATGTCTTAAACATGTTAAACAACTTTAATGGAAGAACTGTAGTGAAGTAAATGTCCATCAGCTTCCAACACTCACCTTAATGCTTTAGTCAGCAGAACATCAACCTTACATCACAGCAACATGAGCCCTCAAAGCTTCACAGCACCTGATTCATGATGCAAAGATACATGTCTGAATAAACCCCCAAATCTGTGCACGTGGTTTTGGATAGTTGACATCAACACAAAAAAATGTCTAAGAACAGATGGGTATTCCAGTTCCATTGATGATAAAAAATTCTTGGGAACATCGATGGTCTTCTGCAGCCATAAGGACATGTGATGCTCCGCTGTGGTCCCATTCAGGTTCTTCACCAGACTGGTTCCAGTCTAAGTTGAGGGGGATAGAGGAAAAAAAGAACAGATTTAGGCATAAAGGTTATGATTTCACAAACAGCTGTTGAAACATATTTGGAGTGGGCTGTGAATGATAACTGAAGAAAAAAACAACAGAACTTACAGGTTGGAAGTCAGTGAAGGCCTGCTGAACCTCTGCTTGGTCGGAACACTCTCCTTCAACTTGTATGGTGCAGTTTGGAGAAGCACTGGCAGCAACAACAAAGCCACATCCACCCATTTGTCTGTAAAATTGAAATGTGTAACATTATTCACATGACTGTAGCATAAAGGCCCTCTGCTGTTAGCGGGGATGCTACCACTGGTATAAAATAGCCAGAAGGCCTAACATCCCCCAGTAGAGCCTCACTATGTCAGGGAGTGTGGACAGAAGATCACAACATTTTCCAGAGCACTTGTGCTGCGGATTCTGTGTTACATTCTATCTAAAACATACATTTATCGATGCTAGGAAGCTAAGTAGCCAGCTACCTAATCTAAACTATGAGTCGGTTGTCTTGAACAGACAGGCTAAAAATCTGTTACTTTATCAACTGCATGTCCAGTTTTAATGAAATTAATCTTTAAACTCTTTATTAGTAACGTCTTACCTTATTTTAAATCCTTGCTGGTGTGAAGCTCCATTAATGTCCGTGTCATCCTCTGGTTTAAAATGGTGAAGCAGGCTCACAGACAAGGGGGAGGATCTTACTATTTCCCGCTTTTTTTAACCCAATACGGTGGGTCAGAATTTTTAACCCAATGATGTGTTAAATTGACCCAACCTCTAAAAATTCAGCCTTAACCCAGCAGTTGGGTTAGGAAAATAACCCAGCATTTTTAAGAGTGTAAGATGCTGAACTGCAGTTGCTACTGGCACAAAATTGGGAGCGTTCAAACACTAAGGAACTTTATCTATTGTGCAGAGAATATGTTAATGCTGCTTTGTCAGATTAATGTGTACTTGAAATAAAAAAATCAAGAGATCAGTTCCAGTGCTTTTATTAATGTTACAAAAGAAATACATAACATGTATTTGAAATGGCAATAAGCCTAACTTTATGGATTCATGTAACAATGTCGCTTTCTAGCTCCAAAACATTACATTATTTAACAAAACCATTTGTCTTTTTGGATTCAAAGTTAAATTTGAACCATTATACAGTAACCTGAACCCAGAACAGTGGCCATCTTGTTTTCACTTAATGTCTGCTAAAATCAAATCTATCACAGACTGCCTGAGTAAGCTGACTTTCAAAGTCAGTGTATGTAGTAACGTGCCATGTAGGTAAGGTGATTAAGTGTGGTCCATACCGGGTGGTACTGTCGTGATCAATATTTAGTTATCTTGTAAAATTCTCTTTCTGTGTCTGTTAGTGGCACATGTGCCTGGCCTGAAACCCACTGAAAAAAATCCTTGCACTGACAACTGCTTTGCTCCACAGCCATCTGATGGGCTCCCATCTTGGTCATCTGTTCCTGAAGGGTGAAAAAAAAATCAGTGTGTCACTAACATGATTGAGGTACTGATTACCTCTCTGTAATTAAGGTGTAATGGCTAAATCAGTTTCAAAACAAATATATTTATAATTTATTTTTAATTTTTTTTTATTTGATGGGGGATTGGGTGAAACACAATGGTCTCTCTGACACTTCAAATTTTTCTCAATCAATCAATTTTTATTTATGTAACACCTTCCACTGCCTTTACAGGAGCCCAAGGCACTGAACATAACAATTTTAAAAAGAGCTAAGCATTATGAGCAGTAAAAGTGGAATAATCCTGCATGGTTCTGTGGCTACCTCCTTCTTCCAGGTTTTGCAAGAGGTCCTGCAAAAAGTTGATCATGTCCACTTCCTTTGTGTCTTACTGATCCATTGTCACTGTACTGAGGAGCCAGTGCCTCCACAACGAAGTCTGCATCCACCTACAAAAGATGTTTTTAAAAATACTGTGAATTAAAAAGATAAAACTGTTAGGGCTGCTTCTGCTTATCCTGCAGAGCTAAATTAATATAAGAAAATGAAGATGTATACCACTAAAAAATATGTAAAACTTCATTGCCATGATATTAGAATAAAAAATACATCTGATAGCTTCCTTAAAGAAAACTTGAAATTGCTGTCTGTAAAAAAAATGATAGCTGTAAAAAATAAATTGGGGCAAACAATGTTAAACAAACAGATTCTTGTACTTGTGAATCGATTTGATTCTTAGTATTTTTATAAGAATCGATTAGAACTGTTGATGGAACAAAAACAGCTTCAGCTTCTCTGCATTTCCTATATGTTTTTGTAATGGACATATTTTTTTTTGCAGAGGCCTAAAGAATTTGTACTTACCTGTTTAAGGTTCCCAGGAAGAAAGAGGGGCTGAAGTGCCTGGTGGTGTTGTGGCAACAGCTCATCCAAACCCTAGATGGCCAGTCCTTCTCTAAGCTGACTTAGCATCGGTATGAGTCTCATCACCGAATGCAAACTGATGGCCCTAGTAAAAAGAATAATGAACTTGTAATAACTCAATTTTCAAAAATTGCATGACTTGTTTAATGCTACATTAACATAGCCTACTCAATGATGGCCCTTTTGCAATTGCTGTGAATTGACCAGTGTAGCCACATGCTACAATGGCATCAGAAAAGTCTGTCATTGCGTCTTCTTCGGCACGTTCGACCTTCAATCAGAAACACTTGTTAGTACAATTTACAGAAAATAAATTATTCTGTTTAATTTACCTCCTGAATCAGGTTCTGGATTGCCGTATCAGTCACCTCTGGCACATCTTCATTTGTTATTTGTCCATGACGCAAGAAATGGTAAGACCAAGTAGAAAAGAAATTCGGTGCTGGTCCTGCTTGAACCAAGCTGGTGGCAATGATCTCCCCACAGATCCTGAACACAAAACAAGCCAAGTTACACTGCAGAGCAGCATCATACTGTACATACCTGTATCTGTTTTCCTGGTAGTAAGAGATACTATATTTGGGGTTTTGCCTTTGCATGAAACTCCTTCAAATAAGTTCAACTCAAGGCCTCTCATCATTTCTATTGGGAAAAAAGAAATGACAGTTTGCCATTTTCAACTATATTCAAAGTTGGTATGTTGACATTAGCAAGGAATACATACCAGTTAGGAACTCTCGGCGTAGTGCTCCTTCATCAGTGTCGTGTTCTTCAATAAAGGAAACAATTAGCTGGTTTTTGGGGAAAGCCTGTTTCTGTCTGGCCCGCTGTTTCAGACCTCTCTGGTAAAGGTCGTCCCTTGTCACATTAATGTTAAAGGTTTTAGTGTTGTCAACTCTTTCTTGTAGGAACTTCAGGATGTCTGATAAGCTATTGACAACAACATTGTGTTTATTATTATTTATTTTAAAACCTACACATTAACACAAATGTTTGTAAAAATTCAAACCAGATTAAGTGCTTGGAAGAGTCATCCACATCCAGTATGATGCTGTTCAGATGTGGAAACAAACAAAAAAAAAAGATTAAACTCTCATAACATATTGTGTACAACGTGCATGGGTAAAAACATGCACCTGTCCTCTTCCTCCTTCACCACAAAAGCTGGCATGCAGTTGTATAGACTCCTGAGTAAATTCTTATCACACAATGGACAGGAAACCTATTAAAGACATTTTTTTTAAAATCAGTGACCAACAATCATTGTTAAGGAAACAATAATGATTAACATGAAATGTAATTAAAATATTCTGTATATTGCTAACGTGCATGTTTGAAGTTTGATTTAAAGGGATATTCCACCCTAAGTGAAAATTTGTCTACTGTCTAAATTGGCTCCTGCAAATGTGTTACTTCTTACTTTTCATTTGCAGTCAACATGATTATTGAGCTCAACAGGAATAACTGGTATCATAATTTAGTAATTTTACAGTTTTGCACACAAAATGCTACTACCTCCCATTAAGTTACATGGTTTATTCTCATCTAAAGCAGACAGACTGCTGGCAGATAAGAATTACTGCGCTGGTTAAAACAATCCTTTTTCATTCACTTATCCAACTCTGGGGAATACGGCACTAGAAAACATTTTTGGATCTTTCCCTGACACATATCTAGCCCCTCATAACTCGATCCCCAGTTCCTGGATAAAACACCGGACATTTTATTCCATGTAGGACCCTAATCCACCTAGCTATGTGCCCCTGTTGCAATATTAAATGTGAGGAGTCGTAAAAAGTAGCATAACAAAACAATTTTATGGAATAAACTGCAGCTAGTAGCCTTGAAAAATAACTTACTTGAGCGTCTTGTTGGTTCTGGTCCATTTTGCTGGTGCAGGTGAAACTCTCGCTCCAGATCAGAGCGGGTATTAGCCAGGCTGTTAGTGCGCAGATGCGGCAGCCACACAGGAAAATCCACAGAGTGCAAAACGAGCGCACCCCAAAGAGGTTTGTTCCCGCCCAGTCCCACAAGTCTTTCTATTGGCTGAGCGGTTGCTAGGAGATTGTACTTCTAAGTTTTGAGCGAGAGCAGACAAGATCCGTGAGAGCAGGGGACAGACTTGTGGGAGGAGTTTTGATCCGTGTAGAGAAAAAGTTGTCACATGAGAAGACAATACCAGTGTAAGAAGGTTAAATCTGAGCGCAAAAACAAAGATTTGAAGGAGAACAGAGTGAATTTGAAAGAGAGCAGACATTTTGAGCGCAAGCATTACAAGTTTTGAGAGCAATAATATAAAATAGTATTCTGAAATTAAAAAGATGGTCTCTTGATATGAAATTCTGCTCTCAAATTGAAAGTTCAACTGCTCAGTTTCTGGCACTTTAATTCTTCCACGCCTCCAGAGTGCCAAAACTCCCAACAGCCGAGCGAGCAGAATCAGAAACCGAGCGCGCAGAAAGGCTGCCACACGTGCAGTGAGGCTGCCGCACCGAGCGCGCAGTGAGGCTGCCGCGCGCATGTTTTCCTCTGCCGTGTGCTCGTTGGCCAACGAGCGCACGCAGGTTTGTCACTTGTGCACATCCTTGTGCGCTCACAGACACAGTTTGCTCCCTCTCAGTGTACAAATGACCTCCTCGCCATGTATATTTTCACTCATGAGGTTCTAACCTCCACGCGCGAGTCCCGTTCGCACGCGCGATGTGCACAATACGCGTGCACGGGTTTTGGCGGAAACCTGACACCATACCAAACTGGGAATCTGGCTAGAACTGGCTTGTTCAGGAAGTGAACTAGCTTTTATTAACCATTGTTTGTCAATTTGGACAAATCAGAATTTGACAAGTTAGAGTGGGTGTTACCAAAATACCCCAATCACCACTCCCTTCTCTAAACACCTGGAAAGGTTATTTCTTAATGGGAAGTAAAATCCTATTAAACATTATTGTGAAGTAAATATTTTAAACATGAATAATATTATTATTGTTATTATGTTATGCATTATTATTAATAATAATAACATCATTAATGTGTGAATATACTGATAGATTAACATTAAATTCAACAATTAATAATCTGTTATATTTTAAGATCTGAAATAAATCATTACAGCAATAAAACATTCATGATAACCTCTCACTTATTACTATAGAGTATTGGACACATTATTAAACACTTTGGATTTAAACATAGTCAATTCAACAAAATATGATTATATAAACCTGTGAAATTATAAAGTACTTTTATGAGCTGGGAAAAATAAACTTTATTCAACGAAGATAGATAAGGAGTCTTGCATCTTCTGCAGCGTCTTGAGTCTTGTGACATACCACAGGATAAGTTAAGAATATTGGGTCATGTTCATAGATACTCATATCCGTACCGCGAGTCAGAATGGCCTGACCACACAAGTATGGCCTGTAAGTTAAAAAGTTGACTTTTGGTCATTTTGATGAAATACTTGGTCATTTGGTTCACTACTCAGCAGTAGTAGACTGGCCATCAGCAGCATTGGGACATTCCCCTGTTGTCTGGCTGCTGAACTGGCCTGCTCAGAGGTTGTCAACAGCAAGGTAAAACATGTGCAGCACATCCGGACAGAATTTGAAGGACTGTAGCCTCCTGAGAAAATGAAGACGACTTTATTCATTTTTGTAAATGGTATCCATACTGGGGGACCAATTAGGGTGACCAGATCCCAACGATCCCATTGTGTGAAAGAGACTACTCAATGTGAGACAACGTGCCGATTTCCTGAAGTCCACAACCACATTCTTTGTCTTTGCTGCTATTAAAGGGCAGGCTATTCCAACTACTCCATTGCCTGAATGTCTCATGCAGGCCTCTGTACTCCCACTCATCCTTATTTCTGATGCACACCACAATAGCAGTTTCATCAGAATATTTCTGAATGTGACAGGCCTTGGAGTTGTACTGGTTTTCTGCTGTGCAGAGTGTAAAAAGGAAAAGAGTAAGGACTGTCCCCTTAGGAGTACCTGTGCTGTCAGACTGGTGTTTGTGAGACTGTTAGGTGCAGCCTAATGTGTCGAGGCCTTTCAGATGCGTAGTCCATAATACATGTGATCAGAGAAGAGTCCACTCCCATCCTCACCAGCTTGTCCCCAAGGATGTTTCCTTCACAAGGCTATCGCACTTTTGAAGCAGGGCTCCAATTCAAAACTACCAGAATGTGCATGCATCAACATGGCTCACCAGCTATTTTTGTATTAATGCATGTTTCTTTTTTTTTTTTTACTTTTTTGCACACATAATGGCAAGGACCGTCAAGAAAGCGTGTTTATGTTCAATTAAACTGATACCAAAACCTTGTTTTTGTCATGATCCTGTTCCTGCCTAAGACCTGTTGCCACAGCAGCCACAGCCCGCACCTCATC